AGTTTGTACTTTTAATTTTACAGACTGAAATGGGGATCTGGGATCTCACAGATTCCACCACTAACATGAACACTCCAGAGCACACAGGAGCTGGTCGACTCCACTAGTGAGCAGGCAGACATTTTGGCCTAAGAATGTAGGTACCATAACTTGACAATGCTGCTGTTGGTTCCAAGCTCATCAGAAAAGCAACAAGTAATCTCTGAAACCACATGGTTCCAGAAAAAGTGAAACATATAGCCTAAATGAAAAAGTCAAAATACATTTCATACTGTTTTGACTGCTTCCTAAGATACACAAAACTCTCCCGTTAAAACAGAAGTTTTTTAATGGTTCCTTGGTGACAGTGAAGAAATGGGTTTAAGTGGATGGTTGAAATAGGACAGTTTGTTCAGATTCAAAGATTGATCTCATTTACCAAGTGACACTCTGATGATCCCATTTTTCCTGGTCTAATTTCTCTCTGAAATAGGTGGGATGGCTGTTTCAAAGAAAATTCCCCTACTGTTTTTGGTCAGTAATGAAACCTTCCGATGCTATGCTGCAATGAGAAGATCCACCTACCCCTCAACGTAACGAGGCATTCTTTTGATGTTGTTGTTGTTAGTAGAATCTTTTTTATTCAGAAAAAAAACACCAAAAACCAAAAAAGTTTTCCAACCACACACAGGAGGGGTATGGGTAGGGGGAGGTGTCTGTCCATCCAGCCCCGGCCCCCAGCCCATGTGGTTTTGGCAGCAATAAGGTATGTGGGGTAATGGCCCCAAAAATAAAAATGCTGTATGTGTGTGTATGGGAAGGGAAGGAAAGGGGTGCAAAAGCAGTGGGGAGTGGTGTAGGGAAGGGACACACGAGGTCAGTACTGGGAACGCCACAGGTGGGAGGCCATTTCATAACATTTCTTGTTGATCATACCACTGTGGACACCTTCTTTGCCCATCAACAGGACTAGCGTCTTGGCAGTCATGGTGACAGTGATGTTGAAGGTGGGGGATCCGCCGGTGCTCTTGGTACGAAGATCCACGGTAAATTCCCCATCCTGCAGCAGTGAGTCCCGGATCACAGGACATTTCTGGCCCTCAAGAGTCAGCCCATTCACGAAAAAACTTGACCGGTCTTTGCTAACCAGGACACCAACCTCAGCTGGCGTGATGTTGATGAAGGTTTTCCCGGGGACGGCGGCCCAAACGGAGGGCAAGTCCTTATAGCCCACGATGGCCGCGTCCTGACAGGTCCCGTCCGCCATGAGGTTGTCGATGTAGGCATTCCACCTGGCCACGGCGCTGCTGCTGGGGCCGCGGGCTGGGCTCGGGCTGCCGTAAGGAGGCATTCTTATCTGGGAGGCTAAGTGTCTGCCCTCAACATCACACACATATCAAGAGCAAAGCTTAACAGAATAACAGCTCATTCTTTACTCAAAGCTGATTTCATATATACACAAGCTGACAGTCACATACAACAACAATACAAAAATACCCTGTACTTGTGTAGTTACTTGTGGTTTACAAAGTCCTTTCACAGATATCTGAGCCTAATAACAATGTGTAAGATGGGCAGGCATTATTATTGCTTTGCAGATAAGAAATCCAGGGTTTAGAGAGATTATTGTTATTTATTTATTTATTTTTGAGGAAGATTAGCCCTGAGCTAACATCTGCCACCAATCTCACCTGTTTTTTCTTTTTTGCTGAGGAAGACTGGCCCTGAGCTAAAATCCATGCCCATCTTCCTCTACTGTATATGTGAAACACCTGCCACAGCATGGCTTGACAAGCAGTGCATAGCTCTGCACCTGGGCTCCAAACTGGTGAACCCTAGGCTGCTGAAGCAGAACATGTGAACGCCCTAGAGAGGTTATTTTGACCTTAGTCTGGGAGTAAGTGGTAGAGCTGTTAACAAAAGCTACACCTTTCAACTTCGAGTCCACTGCTATTTTTGTATACTCTCATTCAGGAGAGACACTGCTTCTCAGGGCAAAATTTATGAACTGTCAAATTCGTACTGAATTTGGATTCCAAAAACACACTCAGGTTTTTCCTGCTTTCAAGGATAGTAAAGCTCCTTGTTATCAACCTACCCGCTGAAAACAATTAGAAATTTTGGATGAAACACACCAAAAAATCTATTTGAAGGCATTGGAGAGTTAACAAGGCAGCCAGGTGTTGCAGGGCCAGGTTCCCAGAAAGAAGAGAAGCCCCTGAGAGTAAGGCCAACATTCTCTGACCCTTGTCCCCTTAAGCAGTGTGAAGCCAAGTGGATGAATAAGCCAGGTGGCTGAATAAGCAGAGCAGAAGTGATGGCTTTGCAGGTGGGCAGCCAAGCTAAGCTTCTGTAGGTGAAGTGGGACTAGAGAGGCCAGAAGTGGAGGTCAGTGCTTGCTGAGGAAGAGGGGCTCTAAGAAACACCCCAGACTTCCAGGCAGAGTCCCAAAGGGTTACTTCCTAGTTGCAAAAGAGAATTGGAAACCACCAGCTCTCTACAAAAGACTGAAACCCAGCTTTACACCAGCTCAATTCAAGTCTTGATCAAGGTGATCTGCCTTATTTTAGCTGCCTGCCGGACAGCAAAACTAAATCCTATTTGGAGGATTAAAACATCAGCTAGAGCCTTTAACTATCTCTATATTTGTTCATACACAACAAAACACAATAACCAAGATTAAGAATTCAGTAGACAGATTTAAATGCAGAATAGATACAGCAGAGGAAAAGAATGGTGACTAGGAAGGAAGGCCAAAAGAAATATATCCAGATTGAAGCACAGGGAACAAAAAAGAATAAAGACTACAGAAAAGAGCATCAGAGGGACAGAGAACGTGGAAATTCTGACAAAGACATAATTAGGGCCGAAAGGGAGAGGGGAAAGAAACTGGTGCACAAGAAAAACTGACAAAAGACATGAAGCCACAGATTTAGGAAATTCTACAAACCTCAAACAGGTTCAATATGAAGAAAATAACATCTAGGCACATTACAGCAAAACTGCTGAAAACCAGACAGAGAAATTTTTTTTTGAGGAAGGTTAGCCCTGAGCTAACATCCACTGCCAATCCTCCCCTTTTTGCTGAGGAAGATTGGCCCTGAGCTAACAACTGTGCCCATCTTCCTCTATTCTATATGTAGGACGCCTGCCACAGCATGGCTTGCTAAGTGGTGTGTAGGTCCATGCCTAGAATCTGAACTGGTGTACCCTGGGCTGCCAATGGAGAGTGCATGAACCCAACCACTATGCCACTGGGCTGGCCCCCAAAGAGAAATATTTTTAAGACAAGCAGAGAAAAAAGTTAAAATGCCCTCAAAAAGCCAAAATAGACTAACAGTTGATATTTCACCAGAAACAATGGAAGCCAGAAGATGTAAAATGTAAAAGAGCTAGAAGTTACTGTCAACCTGGGATTGTATACTCAGTAAAAATACTCTCCAAGATGAAAGTGAAAAAAAGAGGTTTTCAGACAATAAAGGGACAGAATTCATTGCCAGCAAATTGGCACTAAGAGAAATACTAACAGAAGTTCTCAGACAGATGGAAAATGGTTCCAAGTAGAAAAATGAAAATACAAGAAATAAGAAAAAATGGAAATATAAGAATGTGGATAAATCTAATGGATATTTGCTGCAAAAAAAAATAAATAAATAAAAGGTGTTCTGCCAAGTTTACATATAGAGAATTAAACCATACGACGATAAGAGCTTAAGAGAGGATTGGAGAGTAAGTGGAGGGTAAAGTATTATGAGTCTGTGCATTGTCCAGGAAGTAATAAATTAGTCATTTATATTAGACTCTAATGAGTCAAGAATGCAACAAGCTAATAGAGGGCGAGATACTTAAGCCAAAAGAAACATGAAAGGAAAGGAACAGGAACACAAAACAAGTGGACAAATAGAATGCAGATAATGAGATGCTTGTGTTAAACTCAAATATACCACCAGTACTTGCATTACATGTAAAAGGACTAAATACTCTAAGTAAAAAACAAGATTGTCAGAGTGAATTAAAATCCAAAATCCAACTATATACTACTTATATAGGAGACACACTTTAAATAAAAGGACACAAAAAGGTTGGAAGTAAAAGCATGAGAAAAGATACGTAATGCAGAAATACTAAACCAAAGATAGCTATCCTGATATTGAGCAAGACAAAAAGTGTTACTAGCAATAAAGAGGGCATTTCATAATGATGAGGGTCAATCCACCAAGAAGATAACAGAGACTCACCAATAGGTCTAAAATACAAAGAACAGAGTTCTTAACATAACCTAGAGCTGGTTAATTAGCCTTCCTGGATGACGCAAGTGTCTTGTTAGCTGTCTGCCTCTCCCACTGCACTGCAAGCTCCCTGAGGACAAAGATGATCTTCAGGTTCATCACTGTATTCCTGCGACGTTGGTGGAAAGAAGGGACCAAGGAATAAAGAAACAAAACTACATTACTCATTCAGAACCATCCCATGTCTGCCCAAACTGCAACCAAGACTTACAGCTGGGGAAACGGAGCCACATGTGCGGGCAGGCACTCCGAGATTAAGCTTTGAAAATATGTTTGCTAGCACTTTTCAGAGGAGACCTACCCCAGGCCCTTCGGAGATGCTAACACAGAGACAAACTGTATCTCTACAGTCTAGGTTGTATATTCTCTCCTAGGTCCAGTGCATTCTTGATTTTAGATGCAGACAAGGCCTGATGTTAATGGTCAAAAGTGGAATATACAAGGGGAAAAAGAAAAGTGGTCTGTTGTTGAAAACCTGGAGTTGGTTATACAAAAACACTAAAAATAAAAACAAAAGAACAAGATGATGAATAACAGCGTGGCTTTGGTCTGAATTGTACACATAAAGTGCAAGTTAGTCCCTGGGATGAGTTGGTGGGGGACTCATTAAAACAAAGAGCCTGTAGCTGGCTCTGTACGGCTGCCCACGTCGCCTGCATCTGCTGACCGCGTTGCACTCTTACAGCGCAGGCAGAGGGGCCACACTGACCAGCACACAGGCACAAGTCTCACCTCCCCAGCTGCACAGACAACGGTCCATGGGAACAGAAACACAGTGCACTCTTCCATTGCGTTTCCTTGGAGAACCTGAGACTGGAAAGAGAGAAACAAAAACCTGGCTGCTTCTCAATTTCTCAGGAATTCTGTCCGCATGTGGCCAGATGGGAATGCAATTTCTCTCAAGAATTTGGCTGCAAGCTACCAATACCCAATTCGTCCTGCTTTTTAGGGGCATTCAGGCCTCATGCCAAAGACTCACGCCTGAAAACCGGGACTATAAAGGATGCTCTGAAGGGCAAGGCAGCAGCATCTAGTAGTCAGAGCTCTGAGCAGGGAGTGTAGGTACTTAGTGCTCCAATTCCTTCAGTACTCCCTTTGTTCAACCTCAGGCAAGTCGCCTAGCATCTGTGGCTCAGCTTCCCCATGTGCCTCACAGACGTGATAAACGTCTTAGTAACTTAGTAACTTAGTCACGGCTTAGTAACTGTAACATCCCATGACTCCCAGGGCGCGGGAAGGGTTCCAGATACAAGGTGGCACTGTAAGAGGGCTAGAGACATCCAACCATCCACCAGCCCCTCAATACCCTCCTCCTGACAATGCAAGAAGGAGAGAAGCTGCCTCTGCCCAGCAAACTGGGGCCACAGCCCAGTGAGTCTGACTCCTGGGGGAAGCTCCTGCACCTTCTAGAGGTGAGCTCTGGATTAAGGTGATTCTGGGGACTGCGTACGATGTTATCAGCAGAATCATCTCCCTACCTCCTTCGCAGGAGCGCTACATAGGTTAAATAAGATGAACACACATAAAAGGCTGAGCACAGGTCATGACACCAATAAAGTGTCCAGTAAATGTTTTGTTATTGTTGTTATGGAATAGACGCTTAAGGCTTGCTGTTATGCCAAAGCCAAACCCCTCTGCCCCACAATCCACAAATGCCAATAAGGCCACCTAAACCTAGAGCAAGCAAGTGAGCCTCTGCCTAGAGAAGTGCCCGCCCCACATGAATGCCTCCTCCGCCAGGACCCTGCCCGGCAGGATGTCCCAAGTTGGAGGTGGGTCTGCAGAGTAGGCGGCCAGGAGATCCTATGCGTGAGCTTGTTGAGCTGCAGAGGGAGCAGATACTCTGGCCGGCTTTGCCATGGAACAGCAGCCACGCCGCGAGGCTGGCTGCAAATGTTTATGACACAACTCTTATAAGAACAATATGAAGTGAAAATAAAACCCTGGGCCCCCTGAAATGAGACCCCCTCCCATGTACCCACTAATAAGGAGCAGTGTGACCCCCTTCAAAGCTGGACTTCTCATTGTTTCCCCAGATTTTCTGCCCCGTAAAAAGAAACCTCCGAGTCCCATATTAAGCGCCTTCACTAAAGCTTCACTACAAGCTGCTGAGTTTATGTGGAAACCTCTTTCTTGGCTTCAGCGATGTTTACTCTTCTGAATAACAATGAGAAGCTTTGGATCATATCTTTCCCCACAGCCCTTAATCCTGATTAGCCACTCAAAACAACTGACAGGACGCTGACATTCCAGCGGGAGTAAACAGCCCAGCCGGTTACTTGAATGCCTCTCTCTTGCTGAAATTTTCTAAACAACAAAAGAAATAAACAAATAAAGGCCCCTCAAGAGTTCTGATCTCTCTTTGGGCTGCGTTAAAGCCAGACATTTACAAAATTGGTCAAAATAGAGGCCTTTAATGACTCTTCTAAATGAAACAAAACAAAACCGTACAATTATAATTTATAGATTGAGTATGAACAATATGCTCTTGATTTAAAGCCTGCCAGATAAACCTATTAGGTGTGTAACTTGGACAAACTTCTCTCTGAGAAAAGGTTCCCCTGTGGGTATCCGGGTGAAGCAGCTCCATCCTCAGGAGCAATATTTCAGATTTAAACACAAAAATGCTTCTAAATCCTTCAATTTTAATTTAGTGATAAAAGGAAAGGGTGGCAACACAGGGAGAAACTTTCTAATAAATTAACTTTTGAAATCTGAAGCAAATTTGGTCCTTTACCAAGTGGTTCTCATTTTTAAGGGACTTAAATAAATGAAAAGGAATAGTGTTTGGCTGACAGGGGAAAGAAGAAAACAAGATAATGTTTTTTCCACTAAAGGTTTACTTGATTTTCCTTATGTAAGCAATTTTAAAGTAAACCATCTCAAGCTTTCCCCAACAGACAGAATGATATTCCATAAACTTGCTGGGTTCTACTCCATTTCTGTACTTCACTTTCCTGTCAGGTGGATTTCCAGGCAAAAAAAGAGAAGAACCACCCAGAAAACAACACAAACTCCTTCTGAGCTGGATTCTGGAAAGGCTTTAGCAGGCAGACAACCAGCTCCTTAACATACCCTACTCTAAAGAAGGCAGAAAGAGAATTTCTCCCCTGGGGCCACCTACAAAGTGAGATGGTACTCCAAGTACTGGCTGTGCTTCAAATTCATGGCTGAAGACCTCAGCGCCGGAGTCATCGACAGTGCAGTCCTGGGCCTCTTCTTATTTGAGTCTACATTCATTGCCTTGGGGATGACAGCCAATCTCTTGGTTTTAAATACTATCTGTATACTGACCATTCCCAAATTCATGTTTCCACTAAGACCTTTCTCCTGAACACCAGCCAAATATCCAATCACCTACCAAACAGGTCCTCCTACATTAGAAGCTTAATGCATCTGGAACTTACATGTCCAAATTTTAACTCCTAAAGTGTCCCCTACACCTGTTCCACTCACAGCCTCCCTCATCTCACTTAAGATAACTCCACCTCTCCCCTTGCTCCAGCCACAAACCTTGGAGCCATCCTCTAAGCCACGCTCCTCATTCAGTCCATCAGCCCCTCTTGTTGGCTCCACCTTCGGGACGCATCCAGACCTGACCACTTCTCACCACCTCCAGTGCCGCTTCCCATTACTTTTTGCTGGGCAATAACAACAGCTTCCCAAAGGGAGAGGAAATGAGTAGTCTGAAGAAGTGCCTTCAAAATTCCCATTGGTTCGGGCTGGCCTGGTGGCACAGTGGTTAAGTTTGCACCCTGTGCTTCAGCGGCCCAGGGTTCACAGGTTTGGATCCTGCGCGTGGACCTACCACCACTTGTCAAGCCACGCTGTGGCAGTGTTTCACGTACAAAATAGAGCAAGAATGGCACAGATTTTAGCTCAGGGACAATCTTCCTCATCAAGAAAAAAAAAAATCCATTGGTTTAATCTGCTTTTAACCTTGACAATTTATTTGAAATTTCAAATAACATTACATGAGGTGGACAAGCATTTTTTTTTTTTGAGTTGAGAAACTGTACTCTCAAGAACAGGATGAGCTACCATCTTTCTAAGAGAGTCTAAAATTTCCTGCACATCATATCTAGTATTTCACTCACAGCAGGCTTTCCTATGTTCCTGCTTCTATGGAAATATTTCTTCTCGGCAAAATATTTTTATACACTTAAAAAGGTAAATAAAACATAGTCCAAAAGTGTGTGGGTTTTTTTGTTTTGATTTGTTTTGTTTTTTTGCAAGGCTCTGAACCCTGGATTCCTTGTACCTCTCCCAAAGGACAGAAAATAAGGGGTGGACTGTAATTGCACTGCTTTCCACTCCTGGGAGAACATAAACACAGTGCAGTTATTTAGGGTTCATCTTGGGGTTTATATGATCTCTACTGCTTAGAAATCTCCCTTTCGTTTGCCTTTAATTCTTTGATGACTCTTAATACGATGAATGACTTACTCGGCACTCACTACATGCCAGGCACTGTGCTAAGTGATTCACTCCCTCAACAAGTATTTGTTGAGTTTATTGAGTGCCAGAAGCTGTCCGAATAACAACCTTGGATATAGGAACTCACTATCCTAATGAGTAAAGACAGACGAACAGGTAACTTAGTAAAACACATGGTGTATAGGTGGTTATAAGAATCATGGAGAAAAATCAAGTGGGAAGGGGCATGCGGACAACTGGTGAGGCCGGGGCTGCATTCCTAGGGAAGGTGGTAGAGCGGCCTTGTTAATGTGGCTCTCAGCAACATCTCAGGGGAGGAGGAGACAGCCCTTGTGAACATCGTGTTTAATCCTCACAGTAACCAGCTGTAGTAATGTTACAACATCCTTCAGATGATAAAGGCCACAGAATTAAGAACTGGAGAATCTGGGATTTTGACCGAGGTCTATGTGACTCCAAGAAACTTGTTCTTAATTAACCTCCACCTGCACTGCTTTCAGATTTATCACAAGTAAAGACTGAATTCTACTGGGCAAGCATTTCCATAGGCCTACACAAAGGGAAAGGCTGCAGAGACCAAAAAAAAAAAAATGACATTTATATAGGAAGTGTTTGAATTAAATTAAATACTTTAATACCTCTCTCTTAGATATACAGGGTGAAAATTCAAAGAAGTAACTTGATCTCCTTAACCTGACGTTCAACAAGAATGTTATTCTAAAGCTTACACTTTGAGGACAGCACATTGCTTCAGTTTAGGCATCCAACTGACTTCGGATAGACTTTAATTTAGCCCAAATCCAACAAATGTGGAAGGCATCCCAGCTGCTCCTTTAACACATGCAAATGAAAACAACACAGTAGCTGCAACTAAAATTAAACTCACCTAAAATGCATCCCACCATGGGATGAATATTCAAACATCTGTTTGGACAAACTCATATTTCAAAAACTGAAAAAAAATATATATATAGTTTTGAGGACTTTTAAGGGACTTGCAATGGAGGCAGACCCCCAGCCCACAAACTGATGAGCCATCAGAGGACGGTATTTTCTCTCAGCTCTAAGGAAGAGTCTGGAGAGGCAAAGTCACAGTGGGAAAACCAGCTCTTAAACCAAGCAGTGAAGTGAAACACACACCATCTCATGGAGATGTAATTCCAAGCAGTCAATTCAAGTCACCAGGTAAGATTTTTAAGCTGGATTCTGCTAGTAACCACTCTCCTGAGTTTAGACCAAGCCCCCTTAAATGCATATTGACTCTTTCTGGCCTTAAGTCAGTTGCTCCTAATCACAGAGCAAGTTATTAACATTTTGGGAGCCACAGTTCCTTCTGTGTGCCATGAAGACAACCCTCATGTCCAGCACCAGGAGTTGTGGGGACTGCGTGAGTGGATCCCTGAGGAACACTCGGCACAGGCAGTGTGGGGATCCTGTTAGCCTGGGGACAGAGGGTGGTGAGGACACACACATCTGGGACCCTCTCCCCAGATATGCAGGCATGTACAAACCTTGAAATTGTGCAACACAGCTTCAGGACTTTCACAGGGTCCCAAAGCCCCTGCATGGGCTCCCTGTGGGTCCTTGGATGCCAAGTCAGCAAACCCTATTTCAGATAGGGTATTTAACAGTTAACTGAACCAGGTGCACAGCAGAAGGACTGAGTAAAGCTGCCTTTTAAAAAAATTAATGGATTATAGGAAACGTTAAGCAAAGACAATCTTCTGGACTGGATTTAGAAAAATGATGAGATTCTTAATATTACCTACAAAGTATACGTTTATATATTGATCAGATGTTTCATATATTAAAAATCTCTCTCACACATACAGTTCCCTTGTCCGAAAGAACTGTAAATCTACATATTTATGAGCTGCTGTGGGTAAACAGAGCTGACTAGAACCCAAAGCAAGCTGTTAAGAAAAGGGAGTGAGCAGCTGGTAGTTAACTGGTGCCTACACTACTGGTAAAGTTCCCTGAAAGTCGGAAAGAAAATTCCTCTTTCATTGTATGCTATCAACTTATAAAACAAAGCCCAACTTTAACATGTGTTCACGTGTAATTTAGTTGGCTTTTTGTCTCTCTTCAGCTTACCCTCCTCCCACTCCCTGGAATGTGCACCCAGAGAAACTGGACCTCTTGCTGGCTCTCTGGAAGCCTAGAGCTGCCCGTCACGGCCTCATCACTGCCTCCTTCCTGGATGTCTCCGACTCACTCCTCCTTGGGGCCCTTCCTGACCCTCCCACACTCCTGATTTGGAACAGACAGTCCCAGGCTGCATGCCCTTGCTTCCTGGTGCACCTGTCATCCCCCAGAAAAGAATGAGACTTTTCTGACTGGAATCCCAGCACCAAGCACGGAGTCTGAGTCGTAGTCAGGGTGTCATTCACGCTCTGTTACATGATGGATCACTGACTCTAAAAGTAACCTGGTGAGCAGAAAGCAGACAGGAACATAGCTGCTCTCCAAAGGTGGCTCCTTATTTTTTAATAATCTGGAACAAGACTAGCCCTCTAAGGATCCCAGTGTGAACAGCCTCCCAAACAAAGACTCCTACCAGCAAAGCTGAAAGGTGTAGAATGGCAATGAGGGTCATGGATATCAGTTTCCTGGTAAGCGGTGACAAAATGCGTGTTCCAAGAGTCTGGAGACTCCTGAGCAGAGCCTGATGAGCCCTGGGGTGCCTCCACGCTCAGGTCCCTAATCCCTGAAGAACTGAAGAAGGATGCAGACAAGAGCCTTTCTCCTTAGCACACGGTGTGGTGAGACACCACCTGTCCCTCCTGTCTCCACGTTTTTGCTCAATTTAACACCTACCCTGCTGCATTGTTTCTTTCCCCTTTCCAGTCTCTAGAACATTTCCAACTTAAGTTGTCCCAATAAGCAAGAATTTAGATTTTCTTCCTTCCAACAAGGTTGTGAACAACAAAAAATTATGCTTTTTTGTGAGCTGACTTTAAAAATAACAAGTGATCAGTAAACATGAAGCCAGTAATACAACTTTCTCTTGCTGATCCCCCCATGCTCTGGCCAGCAAGCCACAGCCTCCAGATGCCACCATGGGCACCTGAAAGACTAGAACTTAACGCCAGCTGGTTCTTTCACTTCCTATGAGTGAAGTTCCATTGTCACATGCTTCAGAATTTTTCCTAGTTTTATGACCCCCTAAAAATAATACATGCTCAGTTTCCCGGAGTACAGAAAATTTTAGCTTCACAGTAAAAGCTACTCACTGAATTATGGGAAAGCAAGCGAAGCCCCAGGCTGATGCTCAGCTTAGTACTTACTGGTCATGCCTGGTGTCAGGTATGGCTCTGTCCATCCGCAGCTTATCACTTTCCACTTGGTTGAATTTGTTGCGGGCATAGGGGTCCTGCCCAGAGCGGACCATTGTCCCTCCAACGTAAGCTTCCTGGTTGAAGTCCCGCCATCGCACTTTCCCTGGAAAGAGCAGAGCAAAGGGTGTGGGATGAGGGGAAACCAGACCAGAGTGGTCACAACACAGACTAGAGTAACAGTGTTACTTCAAGAAATAGTGCTAGGGCTGCTGCTTAGGGCAATTTTAACCACAGACTAGCTGGAAACAGCCCAAGCCAGCATCATCATTGTCTCTAAACTAGAAAACAGAATGCTTATAGTTTTCAACATGAAAATTAAAGACTCGGCTGTCAAGTATTTCTCTAGTGAACGAAATTCTCTGCCAATCATGCATCCCTGAGTATGGTACCATTTACACTTTGATTAACAGAGATTATTATTATCTGCTTCTCCCACCCTTCCAGGGATTATGGTAATACCAAAAAGTGTCTCAGATATGGTGAAAAAGATAATGTACAAATTAAACATAAGGTATCCCACCATGTAACATTAGGTAATACAAAAATTAATGTTTAAACAAAAAATAGTACCCCCAAAGAACAGGATTTCAAAATACCCCTCTGTGAGGCCTCCTCAGGGATGCTTCCTTACAGCTGTTACCATGTCCGACCCCACAAGGAGGCAAGTGAAGCCATTCCCAGCACACACGTGCCCTGGCACACTCACACTCAGGTACACACATCTTGGCGCACACACCCCAGCACATACACTCCAGCATGCTCACGCTCGCTCTGGGATGGAACAGAAGCCGAGGCAGCTGGCCCATCCCGCACACATTAGCCCTGACTCAGTGGGTCAGATTAGCTGCTGTTGCCTTAGAATGCCACACAAGGTGCTCCACCAACACAACGCTAAACCAGGAAGTTTTATTAGGATCTGGGGTTGGGGCAGTGCTGGAAGTCGACTGGAATCTAGATGGAAGAGCACTGCTGAGTAGGGTAACCTGGACCAGCCTGGGTGTAAAAAGGCAGAGCCATGGAGATGAACAAAGGCATCAAAGCTCCAATAGAGGGAAAGGTGGAGGAAAAGTCAACTCGAGGCAAAGAGAATACTTAGGCCTTGGTGTCCACCATGGGTGTGAATCACTGTTCACCATTTGCTACCTATATGGTTTTGGGCAAGTTATTCTTTCTTTGAAATTAAGTTTCCTAAAAATAAATAAATAAAATGAGAAAGGTTTTTCATGAGGATTTCAGGGCCTACTTTGTGCCAGTTCTGTAGATATAGCAAACTCAAACCAACCAAACTCAACAATAAAAAAAGAAAAACAATAACAACAACCCTGCCCCCATGAAGCTTATAAAATTCCAAGTGCTGTGAAGAAACATAAGGCGTTAAAGGGGCGGGCAGTTCTGGGGTCACTGTTTTATATAGGGTGGTCTGATAAGGCCTCTCTAATAAGGTGACTCTGAGCAGACACTTGAAGCAAGGGAGGGAGTGGGCCATGCAGCCCTCTGGGAACAGCACAGGGAACTGCAATGCCTTTGCCTGGAGTGGAATTGAGCTCACCTCTTCAGAAACCAGCCTGGAAGCCAGCCTAACTAGAAAAATGTGTGAGGCTTTGGTCAGAGAGGGAAGGAAGGGTTGCTGACAGCTACCAAAACAGCAAATATGTGAGGCAACTGCTCTCCTGCAGTAGGTCAAACGCTGGGTGTTGAGTTAAGATCGATCACATGGTTATGATACTATAACCGCGGTATAGCCACCTTATAGCCCATGTATCTACATACATGCTTTCCCAACACGGGTCCCTCTGTCCACAATCAAAAGAACATCGTGCTGCTGTCTCCACTTCAGAGATGAGGAAACTGAGATTCAGTTATATGTGATTTGTTCAAGGCCATAGAGTAAATTTTCTATCTAAAAGCTCATCCACTTCTTGTTGCAATTGTCCTGAGAGGTCAAAACTCCCATCTCATTACAGCTGATTGCCACAGAAATGATGCTTGGGGTCACAGAGGTCAGCCTGTCAAATGGGAAAGCAGTTCCAAAATCCATGTGCTCCCTGGCTATGGCAACGATCCTGTGCCCCTGATAAACACACGGCTACGGGAGTCAGTGGAGGGTCAACATTTTCTCCACTTAAGATAAAATGTTTCCCAAACATTTTTTTGGAAACATGTTTTCCATGCTAGGCAACCCTAGAAACAGAAACGTAACACGAGGGGTGTTATGTTCAGTGGCTATACACCCAAGCCATTGATTGGTGTATCCAGTCACGGGCCACATAAAAAGGTTTCAGTCAACGACAGACTGCACATGTGACAGTGGTCCCATAAGATTAGTACCAGATAGCCTAGGTGTGTAGTAGGCTATACCATCTAGGTTTGTGCAAATACTTCTTGATCCTCCTCTCTCCCCCTCTGCCTTCACCCTCATATACTCTCAGGGATAGGGAAAAAGTCATCATCTACTTGTGCTCAAGAGCACTCGGCCCTTCCTCCTCACTGCGTTAGCTCATCCCCTCGCAGAGTAATATAAACCGTGAGCCTCAGCTAAAGTCTATACCTGCAGCACCTACCATAGAACCCAAATGAGCTGGTTCCTACTAACTTGTTTAATGGCCTGAACACCCTTCACGGCAGCAGGAACTTGGAATATGGAGCCCCAACCACAGCCAGAGAAGAGATCATCACACAAGAGATGTTTCACCTACAATTCTCCCTACACCCCACTTGCCTCTCACCTGGAATACTGAGGACAGTAAGAGCAGCGGTCAGTGCACCCTGGTTCCATGTGAGTCTGTGTGTGGGCAGAGCAGTGGCTATGGGGGAAGGCCTCTGCGAACTCTTGGAGCTTCAGTCCTCTCCCACCTGTACCTCCCCTTGTGCTGTCAGACCCCCACTCCCCATCTGGGATAAGACATGAGTACAGCAGAGGGTTTTACAAGATGCCTAATGTCAATCAACTGTGGGGCTGGCAATGCCCCTGACTTGAATTCAAGCCATTGGTGTATATAGTCATGGGCAGCATAATGACGTTCCAGTCGATGATGGACTGCATACATGACAGTGGCCCCATAAGATTAGTATTATATAGCCCAGGAGTGTAGCAGGCTATACCTTCTAACTTTGTGCAAGCATAATCTGTGATGGTCACACAACCATGAAATTGCCTAGTGATGCATTTCTCAGAACGTGTCTCCATCGTTAAGTGACACATATGTTGTGCTAGGTGATGACTATATCCTGTTGGCTCCTGCAGGAACAACGAGCAAAAACAGACCTGATGCCTGTCCTGTGGAGGTCATGTTCTAGGAGACACAGAGGACAGATAACGATAAAATGACCATGCAAATAAATGTATCATTAAAAACCAAGCTAAGTGCTCTGATGGTGAGAAAGCTAGTTCTATGGAGTAATCTAACAGAGGAACCTGATGGAGACGAGTGATCAAGCAAGGCTTCCCTACGGAAGGACTATTTGAACTGAGATCTAAACAACAAGCAGGACAAACACAGGAGAAGCCCTTTGCTACTTTCCAGAAACGCCAGCTTCCTTGTTAAAGGAACTGCAACTGCAGGGACCCCTCGGAGGCACCCCAGGAACTCCTTCCTTTTGACACAGGAACATCTTCAACAGGACTATTATGGGCCCTGCTGGCTTTGTGGTAATTAATTTTCCCAAGGCACAAAACCATTTACTAGAGACAGATTATAAATGACTTTTCTTTTATAAAAGCTTAGCAACATGTTAGAATAGAGCAGGGACTTTCTAACATGTTGGACTGTGACACACATCTTATATCACATCCCAGATGTCATGATGCAAACATATGCACAACTGAAATGAAGGTTTCACCCTTACTACGCATGAACAGATACAGTATATGTGTTTAATATGGGTGTGCCTCATGAAATTGGCTTCATACTCAATGATGGGTCACAACCCATGATTTGAAAAACACTGGGCTGAAGAGCCCAACTGATCTCTAGAATAATAGAGATCAGTTATTTCTGTGTTATATAGAGTTGCTTGGGTTGGAGCCACCCCAAGAGGCAGAGGCAGGAAAAGCAGAGAAAACAGGGTTGTCAGAGGGAACACAGGCCCCACCCAACCCCAGGCAGGAAGGGAAGCAGCAGATGCAGAGACAACCAAGGGTTGGACAGGTCTATGTTAGAGAGGGAGAGAAACAGTCAAAACAACAGACACAATGTCTGAATACGCGGACTTTAAAAAAAAAGACATTCATAAATCACCTCGTATTTCTATCACCTCTTTAACATTTTTAGAAAGAGCAATAGAAATGAAGAGCTTTAGAAAACAAAAAATATCTGAAAATGGACTTAGCTAAGCAGAAGCAGCAGACAGAAAATATCCCAAAGACACAAAACTTTATAAGAGAAGGCAGAAACTAGCATCATCACCCAAGGTCACAGGAAAACAGAACTCCATTTAAATAACATGAGAGGAGAAAGAGAACATTACCCTAAGAAGGGCTGTGAAAACAACTTGCTTATTTAAATGAGGCTATCAAAATATTTGCGAGGAAATTTACTTCTAGAAGACAGACTTCTCTTAGACATGGTCTTCAAAGCTGATGGAGAAAACGTGTGACCTTGTAAGTGTTGAAACCTCTAATTCTGTAAAAATGAGATACTTCCTGGACGGGCAGGGGCTAGGATGAGGGTTCTCACCCCACTGCGGCCAAGGTCCCAGGCAGCTTCTCTTGGTTCCCTGTCCCCTTCCATGAACACGTGCAGCCAGCCCAAGTCCTCCTGGCCCTTCAAGGCCACACACATGCTCTGAGAAGCACGTGGCCCTCTGTTTCCCGTATGGCACCTGGCACACTCGTTGTCTTCCCAGCCGGATTAGGAGGTAGTTCCTCACACACACGGACAAACCTCCTATTTTGTTCAATTTTTCACTCTCAGGACCCGAGCACACTGCGTGAGCAGCACACAAACACTTGTCCACTGATCTATACTGACGGCCTCCTCCTAGGTCCATGGCACTTCAGGCTGATCATAAAAAGGTGATGCTGCTCTGAAGAACACAGCCTCACAGTGGCTCAGAAAGATCATATCATTATGCTGTGGACATCCCATCTGAGAAACGTTCTCA